ACGCCATTACGTTGTCGGCCGCGAGCAGCCTAGCATCTGGTATCCCGTCTCGTGCAGGATTCGGCTTCCAAGATACACGGCCGGTAGTAAACGGCAACGAATCCTGCAAGTCAGGAATTTGGTCGTTGTCGGCATCCTGCTTCGACATGCGTGGCCAATCTGGTGTGGGCTGTTGAGAAAGCTTGCTCCAGATCAAAACGGCCGCATCGCGCCGCGTCGGTTGGAGAGGCAACGCTTCGAGCGCCGTAATGTCGTAGCCTTGCGATTTTGCCTGGCGAATGATGGTCGTACGCCAGGCTTCAGTTTCCGGCTTATCCGCGTCGAACTTCGTATCACTCGGGCTCAACTCCAGCAGCCTACGCACGGCCAGTTGCTGGATCGCTGCGAAGCCGGGGTCGTATGGATCGACGTCAGCGAACGGCCAGACCGTGAGTGGCGCTCCTTCGTTTCCGGCGATAAGCCCTTGCCAGATTTCGGCGAACGCCGTTCGATCGAAGACCAATTCGCGCGGGTCCTTTTGATGCCGCAGAGCGACCGCTGCCGCGGCACCACTGGCCTGACCGGCATGGATCGCCTGATCGTGCAGACGGCAAGACGAACTGACAATACTGGTGTAACCCAGGTTCTTCTGGGCACCGAGCAGTCCATCGGTTTGCTTCGGTATCAGGGCCCTTAAAGGAAAGACGGCCCGGCCGGTGCCATCGCGACCGAAGCGACGATTGCCACGGAAATCTGCTTCCCACGGCCCCTGCTCTTTCGCTTCGGTTCGCCATGAACGCCGAGTTGGGTGGAAGTCGAGCTCGAACTGCCACGAGAAGACCGCATCGGGATACATGGCGGCCGCATAGTTGGGGCGTCCCTCAAAACCCAGCACTTCTTGTTCAGGAATAACATGCATCGCGTCGAGTCGGATGCCTTCGCGTATGTACGGTTTGGGGGGCAGCCGGTTGGGTGTGCCAAACTCGTCACTCAGCGCCATGCGGCGAAACTTCGGGTACTTCTGCTGAAGGTAATAAAGAAACTTCAGCGAGTGGTTCTGGGCATCGGCGTAGACAATCTGCCGCTGCTGGTGAGTCATCGCGGCCAGCGGTTTTTGCGAAGCCCCCTTTTCTGTTCGCTCGAGGGCCGCGGCAACGTCAGCCGGAAAAACGTCCAACGGATAGTCGATCGGAGGTGTGTTAATCAGCAAGATATCGGGATGATCGATCTCGGCGTACCCTTCCCCATCGACCAACCGCCGCGTGGTGTATGCGAACTTCTCGTCGATCCAGCCCCAGCGACCGGTGAAGTAGCGTTCGTCGTAACCGCTGGGCATGGGAATTAGCGATTCGGCATCTTGCTGCTCGAGAATCATGCACCACGTGATAGGGTTCACGTCGGTCGGCGGCTCCGCTTTGGCTGGGGCACTCGGCTCGCCATACTCGTCCTGCGAGTCGACACCCACTTCCCAGCCAGCCCCCGACTTTTGAATGACATCTCCCCAGTCACTCGCGTCGATGGTTAGCTTCGCATGCACGGTAAGGGGCGGCTGCGAATCGGTGGCCGTGAAACGAACCCCTTTCACGCGATGGTCGTTTGCGATCACGGAATCGACCTGGTAGTTCGAGAACCTTTTGATTTGCCCGGTCGCTTCGTACGGGGCCAGCAGTTCTCGGAAGACTTGCTCGGAGACGATCGGCCGACTCGTGGTGATTACCCGCGTATTACCTGGGCGGCGAATACCTCCATACAGTTCGGCATTCTTCGACTCGATCGCGTCGATCACTTCGCGAAAGATGCCGCTGCGTGGAATCGGCACGGTGCCATCGTATCCGTGCCCGCGGTTCTCGTCGATCGCTCCGAGTGCTTCGGCACTGAATTGCCCGCCGAGCCACTCGATGTCGTTCACAAGTACGATGTTCTTTACCCCCATCCGCGCCGCTTGTACAGCCGCGGCACAGCCTGATTCGGTTCCACCGACCACCAGCAGATCGGCTTCGACCATTGGTGCTTCTTGGGCAGAAGCCGAGACGCTCAAGAGGTTGGCGAGAACTACCGTCAGGCAGATCGATCGAATCGCGCGACAACGCATGGGTGGGGCTCCGAAATGCGAGGTGGGATGGGATACGCACGGGGAAAAGAGAAGTCAGGTGCGGTCCCATCATAAGCGCTTCAGGAGCGGTTCACAAATTTATTGCGGCGCGTTTTGCATCTGCTTTCGATAGGCCAACTGATCGTCGTGCAACCGGTGAAACACGTCGTACTTCGCTTGATGATACGTCTCGGTCGCGCCGCGGGTGGGCGAAAGAATTGTCTCGGCGGCGCTCATCGTTGCCATCGCATCCAGCAGGTCTTGCTTCTCGCCTGATGCGACCGCTCCTAGCATCGCGCTACCTAACAGGACCGATTCCGGCTCTTTCGGCAGCACAACGCGGCAACCGGTGATGTCGGCGTGCTCGCGCAGGAAGACACGATTCTTCGTCCCACCGCCGCACGCAAAGATGGTATCGATCCGATAGCCGGCGATGTTCATCTCAGAAATGATGTGCCGCGTGCCGTAGGCGATTGCCTGAATGGTGGCCAGGTATAACAGCGCCAAGTCATCCAGCGTTGCCGAAAGTGCATATCCGCTGACCATGCCGCGCAGGGAAGGATCGGCCCAGGGAGATCGGTTGCCGTGGAAGTAAGGGCACACATGCAGTTCGTGGGTCAGCGAAGCCGGTACGCTCTTTCCTTCGGCCAGCGTATCAAGTCGATCGTTCAGCACTTCGTAGACGCTTTTCCCTGAGGATTCGGCTTGCTGCTGAAGTTCGGCCGACGCGCCATGATTCTGAATGACAAAGTCGATCAACGCTCCAGTCGCCGATTGGCCTCCTTCGGTCAGCCACATTCCGGGAATCATGGCCGAGTAGTACGGGCCCCAAATCCCTTGAATGAATCGTGGTTCGGCCGAGACCGCCATGTGGCAGCTTGATGTCCCGCCGATCAGGGCCAGGCGTCGCTCCAAGTCGCTGGCACTTGGCGAAACGCCTTCCAGCGCCGCACCAATCATTCCGATCCCACCAGCATGGGCGTCAATGATCGACACACCAACGGCCGTTCCTACCGGTACGCCCAGTTCCGCGGCGGCGGTGGCATTCACGCCGCTGCCGATTGGGGCGCCCATCGGCTGCACGGTTTGACCGATTCGACGAAAGTTCTCTTCCGCTAGATCTTCCAGGCCAATCTCTTGGAAATAAGAGGTATCCCAGCGGCCAGTTCCGCCGGCATGCTGTTCGTGGGCGAGGTAGGTCCATTTGCAGACGGTGCTGCAAAGCGAACGCGTCTCGTCCCCCGTCGCGCGATAGGTCAAAAAGTCAGGCAGGTCGAAAAACTTCTCGGCACGCTGCCATGTTTGCGGGAGGTTTTCTTTCAGCCACAACAGCTTCGGGGTTTCCATCTCGGGCGAGATCTTATAGCCGACGTACTTCAGCACGTCGTAATACTCCCCTTCGTTGATCCGCGCGGCTTGCTCTTTGGCGCGGTGATCCATCCAGACAATCACGTTTTGATCGTCGTTTCCATCAGGGCTGACAGTGACCGGATTTCCGTCGGCGTCGGTAGCAACCAACGAGCATGTCGCATCGAAGCCGATCCCCTTCACCGAAGCGGCGTCGATGTTGGCCTCGGCGATGGCAGTCTTCACGCAGTGACAAACGGCTCGCCAAATGTCGCGGGAAGATTGCTCGACAAAGTCCGCTTTGGGGCGGAACATGGTGATGACTTGAACCGCCGAAGCGAGCATCTTTCCGTCGGTGGTGAACACGCCGGCTCGTGCACTTCCGGTACCGACATCGACGCCAATAAAGTGACTCGCCGCCATCGTTACGCTCCGTGCTTCCAAGGGGTGCCATCCTTCGCGGTCCCACACAGGTTCACGCGAATGCCCAGTTCGCTGGCCATCGCGGCGCGCGTCCACATGGCTTCATCAGCGGCGGCCGCGTCGTTCGCGTACACCACTTGCACATGGTTCGCTTGATGTTTGGCCATCATCTGATCGCGCGTCACGCCGTAGGTCACTCCATGCATGATCGGCCAAACCGATGTCGTCGCGTCGAGCCGACGCTGCGTTTCTTCCGCCGGCAAAGAAATCGATTCGCCACGCCCGAGATCCATGTGCAGTGCGTCGTCCGCGACGTAGATACGCGACCAAACAATCTCGCCTGGTTTGGAAATGCCTGACAGTGTGGAACCACCCTTGGGGAAGTACATTGGCGGCTGGCGATACCCGTGGCACTGTTTCCAGCCCCCGAGATGTTCCGCAGGTGCCGAGCCCGAGATCTCGAACACCCAGACGTAATCGTCGGTGGTGCCTGACGCGTCGGGGCAGCCCCAGCGAAGATCATGCAGCGTCGTTTCAACCGGCTGATTTAGCTGCTTGTGAATACGTTGAATGAGAACCGCATCGAGCCCCGCACATTCGTCCACTTCGTTGAAGTGAGGGATGCTTTGTCCGGCAAACAGTTCTCGCTGACCATCCCGATCGAACACCGGGGGGCGATGCGTGCTGTTGAGCGTTCCCTCGACCAAGTCACTGGCCGGGGTCATGTCTTTCAGCCCTTGCTGGTACTGAATGCCGATCGTCTCGCAGCCGAAGTGATCGGCCAAACGAACCGCGGCAATATACATGCGGCACTGCTCCAGCACTTGTGCTTCGGTCAGATCTTCCGCGTCGTTCGTGCCAAAGTGAAACTGCATTCCCTCGGCAACGAACCAATCGAATGCCTTCTGTGCGTCGGCGTCGCTCACTTCGCGCATCTCGGCGAACAGAGCCGATTGGCTGAGTCGTTCCTTAAACAGCCCCAGCGGATGCAACAGGNNCAGCCTTCGTCGAAGACTCCCATGATCGCCTTTTGCTGGCGCAGTTGCTCGGCCAATTGCTTGCCGAGCGTGGCAGCTTTCTCCGGAATTTGCGACAGATTGAGTGGCGAGACATGCTCGGTCGAATGTTCGCAGTGGCCTGTTTCGAGCCACGTTTTCAGATGGTTTAGAAAGAACTCGTCGGTGAAGTCTTCGCTCCAAAGCGTCGAATAGTTCGTCCCGGCTTTGGTCAACGAGCCATTAAGATTGAGCATGCCGACCAGGCCAGGCCATTGGCCAGACCAGTTGGCGACCGTC